GCCTGCTCAGGAAGTTGCTTTTCTCAGTAGCTCTTGGTTAGTCAACTTTTGTGCATTGCCTGGCAGTTTGGGAATATGATAACAGTCTGGGACCTGGCCTTGATTGGGTTTCATGTCATTGTGCCATTATTTGCTTTTGCTGAGGTTTTCCTATTTCCTGTCTGTTTTCTTGTAATCTATTTCTGGTGCATCTGATCTTTTTATTTTTCTGCATTTGGCATTTTGAAGCATTTTTTCATGGGCCCAACAGTGAAATCACTCTGCCAACCCCGAGACTTGAACCAGCGCCCTCCTGATCATAGGCACAGTATCCTAACCCTTTGAACATTTGCGAATTTAACAGGTGCCAGTTGGTGGGGGCAAAACTGGGGCACGGTAATGAGTTAAAACAGGCTTCAGACCTCTTTTAAGTACAAGAAAAAGTGAGTTAATGGTGAACCGCTTTAATCGAAATCAGTTGCTCATACGTAGAGGTTTGTTTTGGTATGTTTGGCACTTGCAGGCACGGTAACATGGACATGCCCCCCATAGGATACACCATGCGCAATGCAGACAGGTCTTTACATGCAGTACACGGGGTGTGCAGGATGCGAATGGATGTGTTTACAAATGGAAATACGACAGGATGAATGAGATGCAGACTGGAATACAAGTACACACTGCTGTAATAGATTTATGCTGCAGATATTGGAGTATATATGCGTGGTTTGCATTGCTGCTGGGAGCAGGGGACAGTGTAAGTGTCTACAGGGCTTGGTTGTGCAGGAAGCAGCTCTGGTTCTGGTTCTGAGAGACTAGTAGCGGTTCCCTGTGGAAAGTTTACAGAACAGACTGACCAAACAAAGAAGGCTTAATTCACAAAGCAAAGCAGTGCCGTCCAATGCTATATACAAAGAGAGAGCTTGGCAGCTCTAGCCCCTACACTCATCTCTCAGATCCACCCAGCTGGCCCTGTTTATCACAAGGCAATTAGTCCAATCAAGGCCAGCCGGGGCCTCTTTTGGCACCGGGCAGCCGAAGCGAAGTCGCCGCAGTCGAGTACCAGTTCTCTGCCTTCCACTGACTCACGGATGATCTTTCAGCATCTTGTCAATACACAGGTGGAGATTTTAAAGTGAAGGAAACCTTCTCCGTCGTTTGTCTTATCCTGGATGTTTGTTCGTCCATCCATCCATCCTTCCATCCATCCATCCATCCCCTCACCATCATACTGCCTCTCTCAGTGAAGGTCTAGAGCAGGGGTATTCAATTTAGGCCCTTGATGCCAAATCCAGGCCTTGAATTCAGTTCTCGTGGGTAGTTAGTTTAATAATTACTGACTCTGATTGGTCAGAGGCTTCACACCTGGCTCACAGGTAAAGGAAGGCTGGAAAACCAGCAGGGCTTGGACCTCGAGGACCGTGAGTTGAATAGCCCTGGTCTAGAGCCAAACCCAGGCAGTACCAGGCGTACAGTATGGGTTCCCCTTGGACAGGATACTGGTTCCTTGAAGGGTGCACACACACACAGACTCAAAACAGATCACTTTGAGACACCAGTTAGCCTAATTGCCTTGATAACACTTGGACCCCTAACCTGGAGAGTGAGAGGCAGCAGAGTTACGTCCTGAGCCATTGTGCCACCTAGCAGCACCTACCTTTTGGAATATATAACAAAACCTCCAGAAGATAAATGGTAATTAATAAATCATATTTACCCCTCATTCTTTCACACTCACCATAGCTTGGATGTGTCAGACCTGGGGAGGCTGTTGACCTGCATGAGGTATCCCGTTTAGGCAGACTGAACACTGCCTCTTCCAGGCACGAGAGAGAGGCCGGAGTGCACCCTGTTTCCTGTGGTCACATGTCATTATTTAGGAGAGAGTGGATCACAGATGTCTCATTAGGCAGACCCGCGACTCTCCTGGGCTCCCCCGATGAGATTAGAGCGGTGATGATGGCACGGTAGTCAAGGCCTCTGACCTGGTCAGAGATCTGACAGCCCCAGCGCGAGGTGTGGGCTCTGCTTAGTGCAGAATTGGGTTTTAACCCCTGCGCTGCAGTCGCTGAGGTGATGACATCTGGAGGGAGTTCATCTGGGAAGGCAGCAGGATATCTGATGGCCGGCCAGGTGTCCTTAGTGGTTATCTGTGAGCCGGGTAAGCTTGTTTCAGCAGATAATATTATTTCCACACGTGCAGTTAAGTGTTTGGAGGTCACTTGTTCTCCCCACATTGCATGTGCTTCCTCAGTGATGTGTGATTAGGTTAATTGGTGTCTCTAAATTACCCATAGTGCACTATTGTGTTCATGTGCGTACTATTGGGACTGGTGTCCCGTTCCGGGAGGTCCCCAATCTTGTGTCCTGTGCTGTCTGCAATAGGCTCTAGACCTTCTGTAAGCATTACCCGGATAAACTATTGATGGATGTTTTATAAACATTACTGCAATCATAGTAGACAGTACAAATAACTGCATTTTTTTTTCCAAAGCCTTTTGCTCTGCTGAAAGTCTTAACCCAGCAACATCTCAGGCATTTTCGGTTTATGTTACTGTTTTTTTCTAATAATCACGTTGATGGATGTGTAGTGTTGACCAACCAGGTGTATATTTCCCTAAAACATACATAGTTGGGACCATGCAGCTGAACGGTCCGAACTATATAAGTTGCTAGCAGGTGCTTCTGGGAATTGTGTCCCTGGTCGTTGTTAATTGAGGGTCTTCAAGTTGTTATTCATTTTCAGGCCTTAATTTCCCAGCAATCCTTGATGCTACAATTACTTAGGGAGACTCGAATACTAGTCGGCGTCTACACTACTCAAAAGCTGGCTAGTGTCTCCAATATATTCCACGACCCATACTGTGCTCCCGGACTCAACAAACTAACAATTACAAGCCAAAGGCAACCAACCACTGTTTGATTCAAGTACTCATTGATTGATGCCCAGATTTAAAGCCAGGATTTAAAAAAAAAAAAAAACACTTCATTTTTAAATATGCAGAAAGTCACGCTTTTTTGGAGTACATAAGGCAAATGCCATCTTGGCCAGAGGATAATAGCGGTTCCAGTGCAGGCAGCGATCCCGGGTATTTCAAAGAGCCAGAAGCCTTTCGCAAGTTGATTTGATTAAGAAGTGTTCCCCAGAGTGAGTTTAAAAACAAATAACTGCCTATTCGCCAGATATGTAAACTGAAGCTTTAATATGTAATGTTACATCCATCCAACTTCCAAACGTATCCAGTCCAGGGCCGCAGTTATTAACCTGGAGGCTATGCCAGGAAGCTAAGGGGATGAAGCGGGATACGCCCTGGATGGAATGCCAGGCCGTATAAGGGGATGAGGCGGGACACGCCCTGGATGGGATTCCAGGCCGTATAAGGGGATGAGGCGGGACACGCCCTGGATGGGATGCCAGGCCGTAACGCTCATAACATAACAACATGGACAGAGCCATCAGCGCACCTTTCCATATGCTTTGCTGCTGGTGAAATCTGCACCAGCATGGTGATAACATGAGATCCACACACACACACGTTTGTAATTATGTCTTTGTGGGGACTCTCCATTCATTTCTATGGGGAAAACTCTTATCCCAACATGATGACCTTAACCCCTACCCAGCCCTAACCTTAACCATAAGTAACCAAACAAAATACGAGACTTTTAGTATTTTTAGTTTTTTGATTTCATTCACAGATCTTTGTGGGGACCTGAAAAATGGTCTCCACACTGTAATATAAACCTAATACACACACACACACACACACACACACACACACACACACACACCAAGGGCAGCTTTCAGGCTCCCAGCTCTGGAGTTGAAGAGCTACCTTCTGTTCACTGAACCATCATGCTGTTCCCTTTCAAAGTTATAATTCAAGTTCATTTCATTAGTGTTCTTTTTTGAACCAACGACCCCCAGAACACAATAGACCAGAGTTGGCCACCTTCTACTTACATGAATAACTAAAAATTGCCTCAACTTTTTTGTGTTGTGTGAATCAAATGATCGTGCCAGAAATACAGACCCCCTACAACTCCTCCGCTGACCCCCAGGTGGCCGCGGTCCCCAGGTTGGAAGCCCCAGCTTTGCCATTAGCTAGCTGGCAAATTTCTGTTTGTTCTCTTTGGTTTTAAGATGTTTCTATACAGAAGTACTACTGGTTTTGACTCACGTTATTGTGTGAACTCAAAGTTGAGGTCTGCTTCTGTGCATTTTTGACCTTTAGCTGCCTGGTTTTTGTAGGGCGCTCGTTAACCAAATAACAATCTGTGATGCCTGATAATACTTTGTACTTCAGTACTTTACAGGCAGACTGGAAACAATGGATGCACGCAGATACATTTCCTCTTTGGTTGAAAATGGCTTCCAGTCTGGGTAAAGGGCTTCACTGAATTACGGGTGAAATAACTTCCGCACATGGTGTCCTTTTTAATAACGCACTGAATCAGTTCTCTGGAAGAGAGGAGAGGTCTTACTGCATCAGTCTTCCAGCATTTAAACTGGAAAAATGAAGAGTGCCAGATGGTCCCTGTGCCGTCTCCTGTACTTGAGCAGTGTTTCTTATCCCAGTCCTCGGGAATCCCCAGACGACACACCTATAGCAGCCGTTTGGCCGGGAGCCGGGAGGGAGCAGAAATGTGGACTGTCTGGGGGTCTCTGAGGACTGGGTTGCGTACTAGGGGGTCTTAGCCTTGTCAGATGTGTTTGTATTAAAGAGAACTTACCTGTCTTTCCGGATGGGCTACTGGGAAATGACATGCCTCGTATTTATGGGCTTTGAGTCCCAGTCTCACTGCCGGTTCAGCTGAGATCAGCTTTACGTGGACACCGATTTATGATGGTAATGTTTACCTTGACAGGTTACCTGGTCACATGTTTCCGGGGGCCAAGGAGGGATGTCGAGGTGGAGCTCATTCCCCTCGATGGGCCCCTCAGTGCCCTTTAGCCACAGTGTGTGTGTGCGCGTGTGTTTCATTCTGACCTGGTTGTTTGCCACCCACTCTTCCTTCAGACCCTGGAGGAGCCTCCATACCTGACAGTGGGCACAGACGTGAGCGCCAAGTACCGGGGGGCTTTCTGCGAGGCGAAGATCAAAACCGCCAAGCGGCTGGTCAAAGCAAAGGTAAGACCCCAGGGCATAAGCCCCGCCCACCTGTCTCCTGACATGCTTGTCACATGGCTTTGGAGTGGGCGGGGCTACATGACACAGTACAGGCTCACTTTCAGCACCAAAGAGCATTTAAAGGCTGTCTCTTAACTCTGATCAGTGGTTAATAGTAGGGAGTTGGGTAGCTTGTAATTTTTCATTGTCCATTACTTGTTGATTTTCTATCCATCCATCCATTTTCTGTACCCACTTATGCAGGATTCAGGGGGTCCTTTTATTAAATTAGCCACCATACTACTGCAGGGTCTTTCACAGGTTGTCAGTTTAATGGTACCTTACTTTTAAGTTTGATTAATAGGTTGCATATAATTGTTTTATAAATTACAGTAATCCCTTCACATTAGTGAGGGTTTGGGGTAGAAGATCCCTGTAAATTAGAAAATTTATGAACAATACTTGGGTCACCATAACCTTAACTTATAATAGTCTGCTACTCTGAATGATAACAGAAAAAGTCTATTATCAGTTTCTAAACAAACAGTACTGTAGTGTGGAGGTGGACATTTTAGGTCCAGAAAGTAAAAATCCAAACCAGGATTTTATTTCAACCAACCAGTTGAGTATAAAGAGTCACAGCCACAGAGTACTCAACTGGTTAGTTGAAACAAAATCTTGGTCTGGATTTTTACTTTCTGGACCTGAAATGTCCGTCTCTGTATAGAGTACACTGTGCTTGTACAATTGCGTTGTCATTTCCTATATAGACCTTTCTATTAGGGGTGTAAATCACAGCTTTCCTCGCGATACGATACAATATCGATTCCTTAAGCCAACGGTTCGATTTTTTTTTTGATACCTCAGAAATTCCCACGATACGATACGATTCGATTCATTTCGATACTGGGGATAGTAGTCGAAATGATGAAATTTTACACAATTGTTTACATTTAAATGAATTACAAAAAGGCAAATATAATTAGCATTTTATCTAATTTTATTGGGAACTGTAAACAAAATCTAGTGTAGTCAAGTACGTCCCATAAATCAATCAAAATAAAGTGCAATAAGGTAAAAATAAAAACTTTGGATCGATGTAGATTAACATGGTGACTAATTTTTATTTTAAATCAAGTCTTCTCCAGATAAATACAAAAGTGTAACAAAAAGTATAAAAGTATTTCCATAACTGTCATGACCTGCTCCTATGACCCTACGCCCCTCATTAACTTCGCGTGCAATCCCGATTGTTCCCAGCTGTTTCTTATTGTTTCATCTAGTCCTGTGTATTTAAGTCATTGAATCACCCAGATCTGTCATTGAAGTTTTCCCCGTGTTGTGTGCTGTGCTCTCTGCTTGCGAAAACCTGACCCTGATTCCTCGTTCCCTGCTCGCTCGCCCTACGCTGGGATATAGCAACAAATGGTGCAATAAAGTCAAATAAACAGACATGTAGAATGAGGAAGATCAACAGACTGACTTCTGCAGTGAAACAAGTATGTCAGTATTCTGCTTTGAGAGTTTTTTTAAAAGAAAAATTAAACGGTCAACGTGTTCAGGAGATAGGACGCTATGCTCAGAGCACACAATGTCACCTGCCGTACTAAACACACGCTCTGAAGGTACGCTAGCTTGCGAGCTACTTATAAATGACCAAGTCAAAATGATCTACCTACTATAAAAATGCAAAACATATATTTATATATAAAAATATTGAATATTCTTTCATATTATTTATTATTATTAGTATTATTATTATTAATAATTTCCCTTTGGGATAAAGTATTTTTGAATTGAACTGGGATTTTAGTTCCTTCACCTTTCTATTTCTCAGCTCACTTTTCGGAGGGAAGTTAATGTTGTAGTTTTTATGAACAGTCCAGTCCGAAAATGCCGCTCCACATTTCCCTTCTTCGGAATAGCAATGGTAGACTGACAGATGAGGTAAATGCACTTTGAATATGACAAGGTAGAAAAAAAACAGTCCTCCTCCCATTCCGTATGGAAGTGGCAGGTTTTTGGCTTCTTACTTGGTCCAGCTCTCCCATTCATTTTTATACCCTTTCTTAAGTTTAGTAGAAATAAATTGGAGGCTAACTAGGCGACTCGGTAGCTTGCAGCAGCTTGCGCGGTTGAACGCGTCATCCATCCTCTATTTTTTATGCCATACGATATACCCACACTACCTTTGCAATCGACCAATAGATCGCGATCGACATATTGGGCAACCCTGGTGTAGACCATTTATACGTCGGAGTGGATCATGAAAACAATACTGGAACAGGCGAGAAAATAAAAACGTATGTATCAATATTTATGTGGTCACAACGACGCATCGGATCGTCTGCCGTTGAATCGATATATCGATACAAATCGATGTATTGTTACACCCCTACTTTGTATATAATCAACCTGTACAAACACCTGAACCAGTGGTCCTCAATTTCGCATCAGGACCCACTTTATTTCATTATGTCAATATGTCAAAACCTCACATTTTGTTCTTATACATTCATTCATTAATTCATTCATGTGACAACAAAGTGTGGGGGGGGGTAGTGGTGGGTACTAGTGTTGTGACCTCGGGTAGCGAACAGGCAGGAAGCGCGGAAAGATGAGGCAGGTAGGCGAGGATGCAGGAAATAGGGTTTTATTTGGGAAAGACAGGGCAGACGGCGACTAACGTTAATGACAGACCTGGGGAAACAGACTTGAACGTGGACTAAATACACAAGACAAGCAGAAAATAACAGGCAACAGGTGATCACAATCGGGGTAACACGCGTAGGTAATGAGGGGGCGTGGCACACGAGGATCGTACGAGCAGGTCATGACAACTAGTGGTAAAGCAAAGATTTCTGGACAACATTGTCTATCATTCATGACCACAGAAGTCTGACATTACAGAATTTTTTTTTTTTTTTTAATCACAATACTTGACCCTCTGAAAATGGTTCCATGACCTACTCTTGGGTCGTGAACCCATCAGTTGAGAACCATTCGTAAATTATGCCCCTACATATACAGAGGTACTGTACTGCTGCATGCAATGGGAGCACTACCTTTTCGGTCCATTATTAAGATTGTGAAATTAACAGCACTGAAAGTGTAAAAGATACTGTGAGAAATGCGAGATTCCACAGTCACTCCGACAGCAAACGTGTTAGTGAGGCCAGTTGCCGAGACAATGATGCATGGCGAACTCAAGCCAAGACTCTAATATTAAAGATAAAGTATGCACTTTATACTACCAATAATATTTATCACCACTAATATTTATATATTATACAATTTTATCTTGTCTGAGTCATTCTCAGTATTGTTATTGGTCTGCGAGTTTCTGCAATCTTTCTGCTCCCAAAAGATTCCCGTTTAATTTTCTTTGCCAACTCGCAAATAACCGAAACCACAAATGTCAGGTTCACAGGATTCCTCTGTTGTAGTTTAAGTCTTAAGAACTTTCATTTCATTAAGCCTCGTGAAGACCAGTTTTGTAGAAAATGAAAAATGTATTGATATATTTGGGAAATATTCCGTATATACTGAATTGTCTTGACTAAGTTTTGGGAAAGTATAGGGACTCTGTATAGAGTTTAAGGCTGACGGCTCGTTCATACAGGACAGCCTTGCATATCATGCTCTGAAGGTCTCCTTCCATGCCTATTGGGGAGCATTGTTTGCACCCAAGAATTTACCTCCGCTTTTGCTTTTTGTAAGCTCATGGGAGTTTTACTAACACAAAAATAAAATGATTGGTTCAGAGAGAGAACCAATCAAATTGTAGATGAGGTGGGTCCAAGCAACTAGAGGTGGTGGGGAAAAAGACATCTGATTGGTTGGTCCTTCCTCCTCTTGTTGCTTGGACCTACCTCCTCTGCAATCTTTCACAGTATCAATAATTTTTTGTTCTGCCCACATAACAATTTTGTGTAAGTAAAACTCCCACAAGCTTTTGGTAAGGGGTGACAGGAGAGGTGCAAGGCCACGGGCTGCTGCTGGTTACTAGTGATGACTGTCCTTGAGCAGGGAATGGCTGAATGAGCGTTTCCATGGTTCCCACTGTAACATTGTTATTTACGCTTATTTATGTGAAAATGGGTAGTTCATTGTTACCCCGGGGAGGGCAATGCTTCGTTTTAGGTCCCCCACCCGTGGGTGTGGCGGGAACGCCCCCCAGCTGCGCCATGCTGAGGCCCGCTGCAATCATGCGGAACTGCCTGTAAGTGACTCATGCTGCTGTATTTCTGGCAGAATGCTCTGACTCAGTACGCAGAGTTGAGCTGGACTAGAACTCGGAGTCAGTGTATTCCTGCAGCTGAAGCCAGGAATGCATGCATGCATAGAATAGCTATACACGACGATCTTCTGCTTCTGTTATACCTGGGAATAATGTGTGTCATTTGCCATATAATGACAAAATAAGCTTTACTGTAGAATTTTATTTTTGGTGTGTCTCTAAATATTTCATTAAAAAATATTTTTGGATATATGAAGCTTGATTTTTATTTTCCAGAATAACATTTTTTAATTTAAAAAATTTGTTTAGGTTATTCCTGGGGATTTCAGTGATATCAGACGTGAATTCCAAATCCCTGATTCGTTTTAATCGACTGTGCCTTTGTTCTTACGAAATGATGCCTTTCTTTGGATTAGCAGAGCAGCAGAGCATCGCTAAATAGCAAGATCAGAGTCTGTTGTGTCTGTGATACATGCCGTGTCTTTGGATGCCGTGTGGCTTGTACCAGCTTTGTTTTATTTAAGAGGAAAATGTGTCGTCTAAGCACTTACCAAAAAGTCATCTTTCTGCATTTCAAATTAGCAGCTCAAAACAGCTTAATGTGATATCATTTAATACCAAAAAAGGTAGCAGTGCAAAATGTCAGATTATTATCTCTGCAGAGGAATTTCCTCATGTATATTTAAAAATAAGCACATCTTAAGTGACAGTACATTCAGAGCTCCTCACTAAAGGTCTCATTTTACGAGGTAAATCTTTGTGTCTTCATAGGTATTCCTTTGCAGATAA